CTCCGTTTGGAGTACCAGAAATCGAATTCGCTAGGAATTTTGACAATAAGTGGCATGTGAAATGCAATCTTAGATTCCCTTGCCGAGTTATTTATGAACTTTGCAAGTTTTAGACAGCACAGTGGTCAAGATTTGAATTCGATTTCGCCAGGTAGAAATCGTTTGATTTCTCTTTTTGTTTTTTTTTTCAATAATAAATGTAATTTTTATTACCGTTAATTATGTTTTATTCCCATTTAAAATATTCAATAACCAGTTATTGTTGTTTCCTTAACACTAATATAAAAAATTCTTAACCTCGAAAAAAATTTGGATCCCCTTATAACTATATTTAAAGCACAATGCTAGTAAAAAGCAAATTAATTATATTAGTCCAAAACAGTTCGTTAACGAAATGGATATGCGTGATATAAATATTTCGTGATATAGATATTTCCGAAAACTTCGTTATCAAAACTTCCACAAAAATTTATTATATAATCGTATCACTACAACTGTTTCGGTTGATTACCTTTCTCAAGCGATCTTTTTTTTGGCATGCGTTTACACTTTATAGTCTTTAATGAAATATGTTGAGGAGGGGAGACTAGTTTGTCTCAAGTTGGTCATTTAGAATTATATCTGTTTTTTAATTTGTAAATTTCCATAGATTCTAACAAAGCACTTACATCGGTCAAACTGGTAAAAATTTTAATAAACGAATAGCAGAACATGGAAGGGCTTTCAATAATAGAAAAACAGATTCGACATACGCACTTCACCTTCTACAGTAAATTCAACTTCCAAGTTACGGACAGAATCAACACAAGCCATCGCGTGATATTCGAGTCTACACGTGACGAACGCCTTGCTATTGGCCAAATTGTCGAACGATCGTAAGTCATGCAGTTAGCCCTAACAGGTGCGGACTTCGTTTTTCCGCTCCGTCCTCTGTCGAATGCGAAACGGCCCAGTAATTTTTGTGCAAAGCTGTTTGTTGGTTTGTTTATTTATTAATCGTTAGCTCGTGTGTGGATAGTGCAAAGCATTTTTAAGAATATTTAATTATAGTCGATACAAACTTTTTCCCCACTTTAAAATAATTCTTGTAAGTATAATAAAGCATTTATAATAGCCATAAGATACGATATAATATCGACCTGCACTGATATGTTTACTGGATAAAAATTATTTAGTATGTTAAAAATTATGAAAAACAAGAGGTGCCCGATATAATTTTGTCCTGACTATAATTAATTAATAATTCAAACTCTTTGTGGCACGAGATTTTATAAATTTTCTACAATGGACCCTTGGGACATAGAAAGACTCAATTGCACACGTAAAAAGTAAAATGACCTCACTTTTCAAGAAACAACTGATAACCATTTGCGTTTGGCCGATAACTATACTATGGGAATTTTACCAATTAAAGATAACACTTAATAGGGACAGAGGGAATAAGTAATACAAACCACTTGCGTAGGTGTAACTTGATAAAAATAGATTAATAAGTGATTCATTTTGTGGACTACTGTACAACATGTAGCAAAAATTTGGTGGTTCAAATTTCAATCCGATGTGCCGAAATAAGTTAAAAAATACCTTTTTTTATATATTTAAAAAAAAATCAACCCAGGCAAATATTGTTTTAGATTTTTTGGATCATTCTAAACAAAAATTTATTTTGTAATTTTTCTAAAGTTGATCGTGTTCGAGTTATAAATAATTTAAAACTGGAAGACAAGGAAGAATTGACAGACGAACAAGAATTGACAGACGAAAAAGAATTGACAGACGAAGAACTATAGATGACGATTTTCAAGGCTCAAAATCATAAGTAAAAAATATCACATTTAACAAAGAGGTGAAGGTAAACCTTATATCGGATCCTCTACTATAAAAGTAAATTTGAAAATGCCCATTTTGTTATTTTAGTTGAGATTAGTATAATAAATCCATTTAATATGTCTGATACGGAGTCGGCAAATGAAAATGAGGAACTGTTAACGCTAAGTCCTCCTAGGAAAAGAGCTAAGAAAAATCACGTAGATATAAGAACCAAAGAAATAATGGTTAATACATACAAATGTGAATTACAAGATAATCCTACTTTAGCGTTAACGGACATTCAACAAAGGGTTGCAGATAAAGTTGGAGTTTGTTCGAAAACTGTTTTCAATGTCATTAAAGAATATAAAAGTACCCATAGATTATCTGCACCGAAAACAAACCAAAATCGTTCAAAATCAATAGATGCAGATGATTTTGATAAGTCAGCTATAAGAAGAATGGTTCATCAGTATTTTTTCCGCAATGAAATTCCTACAATTGACAAAGTCCTAAGAGATGTAAATAATGATAATGACTTACCAAATTTTAAGAGAACCACGTTTTACAAACTCTTACAAAAATTAAATTTTAAATTTCAAAAACGTGGAAGAAACAGTTTGCTACTCGACAAAAATGAAATTGTGCTATGGCGGAGAAATTATTTGCAAAAGATAAGAAAATATAGAGCTGGAAATAGAACCATTTATTACTTAGACGAAACATGGATAAATGCTGGCCATACAAAACCAAAAGTTTGGGTGGATGTTTCTTTGACTTCTGCAAGACGTGCATTTTTGGATGGGCTGTCGACCTGCCTAAGAAATCACTCAGGTAATTCAAATAAACTTTTAATAAACTTAAATTTTTTATTTATTATCTTTAATATCACTTTTAGGAAAAGGTAAACGATTTATAATCTGTCACATCGGAAGTGAGAATGGTTTTGTTCCGGATGCACTGTGGGCTTTTGAGTCAAGCAAGAGTGGAGACTATCATGAGGAGATGGATGGGAAGTCATTTGAAAATTGGCTCCAAAAGATTTTACCAACACTGGAAAAAAATGCTAAAATTGTAATGGACAATGCCCCTTACCATTATTACAAAAAAGGCAGATATTCAAAATTGGCTTTGCTCAAAAGACATTCCCTTTGAAGAAACGATGTTGGTGCCACTTTTAGAAATCGTTAACAACATAAAGGCGAATATAATAAGTACATAGTAGATCAACTGGTAAGAAGCACAAATAGAATAGTTTTAAGGTTGCCTCTGTATCACTGCGAGCTCAATCCAATCGAGCTTGTATAGGCGGAAGTCCAGAATTATGTAGCATGGCATAACACAACGTTTAAATTTGCTGACATTAAAAATTTATTCCATGAAGCTATGTCTGCTGTAACCATGGAAAAATGGAAAAACTGCGTCAAACATGTAAAAGAAGAAGTGGAGCCGAAAATGTGGGAGTTGGACAATTTAATTGAAACACAAATTGAGCCTAGCATTATCAACTTTAATGATGACAGCAGTACATCAGATTCTGAAAGTTAAGATAAAATACGGTAATTTTATAAACTTTTTTTTGTATACTTTATTTTGTTGTTAATAACTCTCGACTTTGTAAATCATTTTTATATTTAAAAAATTGGTGTACTATAATCTGTACCTGTCAGACGTCTACAAATTATATAAGGTTTTGTATTGTAGCTTTAATTTACTAGTCCGGCTCTGAACAAACGCGTGTTTCCAGCGTGCATTTGTTTCCATCGTCCGTAGCTTGAAGTTGAATTTACTGTAGATCATAATTATTCTTTTAATGACGAATTTAAAATCCTTCACATTCAAAATAAAGGCCTTAAGCTATCTTTGTTAGAATCTATGGAAATTTACTAATTAAAAAACAGATATAATTCTGAATGACCAACTTGAGATAAACAGTTCTCACCTTCTCAACCTAGTTCGTTAAAAAGTATAAATTATGCCAAAAAAAGATCAAAAAATTTTTGTGGAAGTTTTGCAGTGTTTTATTGTTACATAAAATGAATTTCCATCAAGTAACGGTCGAATCCATCAAGTATATATTTAAATATCACTGACAAAAGTAAAAAGATCATTTAGTTTAATTACAAACAATCCGTTTCGTTAATAGAACAACAAATAAAAATATCAAAATAATATTAGTTGTTTGTGGCCGCAAGCGTATTAAATGAGATTAAAACAGTTATTGAAAATGTCATGATAGCCTGAATAGGCTATTCTCACCTTTCGTTTACTTAAAATTGTTCGTTCTGGTCGAATTGCTGAAAATCAAGTCACAATGTAAACAAACTATGGAATTTACAGGTAAATTTATCTATATGTTAAAAATTTTCACACACATACACACACTTCTCTAATATGTGTCGCATAAATATTATGTAAAAAAAATGAAAATGCTTTTCTTAGCCAAACCCCATCCAATTTTTCGTACAATTTAAAAATAGTAAAAATATAATAAAGAGCGTTACTAATAAAGAACGTTAAAAACATCATATTTTAATTCTTTGGCTTACGAAGGTTGATACCAAGAGAGCGAGAGCAGTAGAGAAGGGGAAGACAGAAAAAAAAAGAAGAATGAAGTCCAATAAACGGCATAGTTTCATATAGCCCGAAGACAAAATCAGAAAATAGCAACAAGTATTCGCTCTCGGAGGGACATCGAAAAAGAAGAAGGAATATATAAAGAGGAGTGGGAGATATAGAGAACTATAAAGATAGGGATGAATCTAGAGAAAAGGGCAAAGGAAAGAGCGTAGGCATAGAGGGGTAGTGTGGAGGGAAGATAAGGAAGATCAGAAAAAGTGATAGAAAAAGCGTGAGCGTGAGATGAAGAGTGAGCTTAAGTGGTTATTGAGACAGTGATGGGAAAGGAAGGAGAGCTGAGAGTGAGAATATAGAATAAAATGAAAAATAAATTAAAAAAGGGGTTATAAAAGGACAAAGAGGGGCAAAAATAAGTACTAAACTTAAGAACCCGAAGAGAAAATCAGAAAAAAGTAAAAACCTTGGTAATAATTAGACCTACACGTCAGTTTTATGTATCTATGTCTATAAGCATTTAACATAAATGTACTGAAAGAAAATAAAACATAGCATAGTCTAACGTCAGTTGGAGAAATTAAATCTGATAAAAATTAACCAAATCTTAATCTTACCTGTGCTCTACTATTTATAATTTGTCGAATTTTAGTGGCCTTCAACTGTGTCGGCTGAGTATTAACACCGTGTTGCTGCGACAACTTGACATTCAAGGAATCCAGAAAGCTTTGTCCGGGACCTGATTTATGATGATATTTATTTACTGGGGAATTCGTAGGAGTTCGGTCTTCTGAAAGTCTTCTCGATGATTTAGGACTTAGCTGGGGCGTCAGTTTCGCACTAAGTGATGCTATAAAGTTGGAACTAACTCCACCTGGCCCTGGAAATTATTATTAAATAGTTACATTATAAATTTTATGCAATGATAATTGATATGCACCAATAACCTCAAAGATGAACTTTCTCACATTTAAGGTATCCTTATATCCTTATATAAATCCTCATACCCAAGCACCCACCTTCAACTTAGTTGCTATACAAAAGTGATGAAAAATCTATTCTACTCTAGAAAAATTTGTGAAGAGTTGGAAATCCGGAGGAATCTTGTGGATATAAAAGAGGTTACAGCAATATCTACGAACCGAAGGAACACCACAATAATGGTCAAATACTCGAATGATCAGCTACATAAGCCGTTACCGAGTGGTTTTGGCGGCTTTTCATCTAATAGATCCGGAGTTCCCAACCAGGGGGGCATGCCCCCCAAGGAGTGCATAGAGAGATGTCAAGGGGGGAGGAAGACGTTTGCGATTTTAGAAAGAAAAAAAAAATAATCAAACAACATTTACAAATAATATTACAATGTAATGTTTAATTTACACGGATAAAATTAATGAAATTAAATATGTCAACAACCGTTTCAAAACCCGACACCAACGTCGTCAATCGCAGTTTATATAAGTTTCGACAAGCCACTACATGAAATCCGCGCGCAACCCCTCCGCACCGATTACGCATAACGTTCATTAGGAATTAGGATTAGATCATAGGTAGATAGAAAATAGTTGAGTACCTACCGGACGTGCATGAGCATCTGTGACATTCATTCACAAAAATTTACGAAAAATTTGACGTTTCGGTATCAATTTGTTGCTGAGAAATTAGTTTGAGTGTGTATAATTATTGTGTTTCACTGTTAAAAGGTAAGGTTGTGTATTTACAAACTACAGTTGTCATTTTTATTTAATTTACTAAATTATTGATTGAGCTAAGATGCGTTCGTAGATCGATCATTGGATCTTTTTTAACACATTACAATCAAACCTACGTGGCGAATTAATTTTGAAACGTTAAATACATTACGTTATTAAGATAAATGGGCATTTATAAATAGTAATTACATGTAGGTATTTTGCTTGTTTATTGTTATATACTGATACTGTTTTATTATTATAGGTTGCAAAATGGCAGCGAAAAAAAGAAAGTTTTCCGAAGATTATATTAAGTTTGGATTTACCTTCATAGAAAAAGACGAGTTACAGTTACCTCAGTGAGTGATATGTATGAAAGTTTTAAGTAATGATAGCATGAGGCCCAATCACCTTGAAAGACATTTGAAGGTACAACATCCTACTCTGGTTTTGAAAACGCAAGAGTTTTTTTCTTCTAAAGCAGAATCACTCAAGCGGATGAGATTGGATAAATCGGGAAGTTATCACAAAGGTGTATCGCAGCATCTCAAAGCTTCATTTGAAATAGCTTTTATGATAGCAAAGCAAAAGAAACCTCATACTATTGGTGAAGAATTAATAAAACCGTGTGTCCTAAAAGCCACGCAGATAATTTTAGGAGAAGATGCAGAGCAAAAAATGAAATCTATTTCTCTTTCGGATAATACAGTCAAGCGTAGAATCGATGACATTGCAGCAGACATAAAGTCACAAATAATCAACAAAGTAAAATTATCGCCATTTTTTGCAATTAGTTGCGATGAATCCACCGACATCTTTAATTGTGCACAGTTAATAGTGTATGTTCGTTACATCGGCGGAGATATCATTGAAGAAGAGATTTTGTACTCCCAATCTTTGACAGTAGGAACTACTTCTGAGAATATATTTAATTCAATATCAAATTTTGTTGAAAAACATGACTTGGATTGGAATAAACTCATTGGACTTTGCACAGATGGCGCACCTGCAATGATAGGTGTACGATCGGGCTTAGCTAAAAAGCTCAAAAACAAAAATCCCGCAATAGTTAGTACACATTGTATTATTCATCGGCAAGCTTTGGCTTCCAAAACATTACCACACAAATTACGCCAGACTTTGGACTCGGCTATAAGGATTGTAAACTACATTAAGAGCAGCGCTTTGAACAGTCGTCTATTTACTTTACTTTGCGAGGATCTCGATTCTGATCACAAAGTTCTTCTGTTCCATACAAAAGTACGCTGGCTATCCAAAGGCAACATGTTGGCTCGCCTTTGTGAATTGAAAGAAGAAGTAATTCTTTTTCTCGAGTTCAAAGAAAAACACGATTTCTTCACAATGTTCAAAGATGACACATTTCAATGGAGGTTGGCTTATTTGGCTGACATATTCGATGCCTTGAATGAACTAAACTTAAAACTTCAGGGCAGTAACGGCACTATAATAAGCAATTATGATTATATTCAGGGATTCATATCAAAGCTTCAACTTTGGAATCAAAAAATCTCTTCTGAAAATGTTATGTCTTATTCTCGGCTATTCGAAGCAATTAAAAATAATATACTTGACGCAAATTTGAAAGCTGACATAAAAACTCATTTGCAAGCGCTGAAAGACGAATTTCGCTGATACTATCGAGACATCAATTCAGAGTCACCAATATGGCGTATGACAAGAAATCCATTTGTTGTTGATGTGTTCCAATTACCAGAAGAAATTCAGGAAGAATTTCTAGATATGATGGCTGACTCGTCCATGAAAGATGACTTCCATCTCTTGACATTGGAGAAATTTTGGATTAAAAGATTGCCTGTTAATTCGAAGGTTGCCTCTCTTGCTTTACGAATACTAGTTCCTTTCTCTTCAACTTACTTATGTGAGACAGGCTTTTCTGCTCTAGTTTTAACTAAAACTAAACAGCGAAATCGTCTTGATGTCGATAGCGACCTGATGATAGCTCTGGCAAAAACAGATCCTAGAATCAACCAAATAGTACAGAATATGCAATCTCAAGTGTCTCATTAATAATTTACTTTGTTAAATTTAATTTTTTTGATAAAAAACATGTACTAGTTTAATTAAACTTTTAAAATTTGTTTATTAGAGTTAAAATAAAATTTTAAGTATATAATGTGCGTTTTTTGTTGTATTTATTAAAAAAGTAGGGGGGGGGGGGCATGAAAATTTAATTTATAGTCCGGGGAGCCCCATCAAAGAAAAGGTTGGGAAACCCTGTAATAGATCGTTGTGTGATCTTACATTTTCTAGCTTATCGTGTGATAAGAATGAACCGGGAACAAATCAAACAAGGAAGAGAAAGAAAAAATGCAGCATCAGTCATTCGGAGACTATAGGACTGGATCTAGGTACATACCATACTTTCGAAGATGCACAGAAACTACTGAGAAGTAGTCACAAAAGCAGAGATGAAGCTCAGCAAATGCCAAAAAAGGTCCAGCGACCAAACATGAGCTCCACTTCCAACGGTTTGAGTACCTGTTAAGCAATGTCTCAACGAAACGTCAAAAGCAGCTCGACCGGAGATGGTAAAGCCTATCGGAAGTCTATTAAAATACCGAAAGGTATAAATATTGAAAGATATAATGAAACAGTCACTTTATTTGCAGTCTACCATGACCAGCTTATCCTTCTCTTGAAGAAGGATCTTAATTGTATCAAGACGTTGTACGAATAATTCATATTCCTCACTCAGGTCTAACTATTGAATTGCGGTCTTCCCAACGAGATTTTTATTAATTTAATAAACTTCCCAGATATTTTAATTGAAATGAGACTTAATACAAAATTATACGCTTATTTTATTGTTACTATCACAAACTATTGTTGACACTCCCCTCCTTAACCACAAAAAAGTATAATACCGGTATAAGTCTTCAACAAAAAATTAAAACTTACCTTCTGACTTTCTGTCAGCACTCTGAGATCTCAAATTATTGATTCTTCTCATGGCATTAGGACTACCACCCATAATCTGCATTGGTTGAGCATACACTACACCGCCAGATTGGGAAACATAGGACAATTTGGACTGACTTTGGAAGGTGCTGAGTACTGGGCCTGAGTTGAATTGAGTCTGAGTAGTTTGGTATAAATTTTGGGAAGATGTCGACATACGTCTAATTGAGCCTGGACTAGCGGGTGTGTGATTAAGTTCTGTCAATGCTTTGACAGTTTCTGCCACATTTATTCCTAAAATAAAAAGAGGCAAGTTAACAAACTGTTGTATGCAATAATAACGCAAATAATAAGAGATAACAGTGTTTGAAGAACAAGTGACTTTTAAGCTACTTAAAAAGCTACTATAAAACTTTATTTTGTTTTTTGTTTGATTCTCTAGCGATTGATTATGTTTTTAATAATTGACTTTGTGCATTAAATGTTTTCTGATCAGAACTTTAATTAAGTACTTAAAGTACTAGTCATACGAAGATTAATGCGGATCTTTGCAACCATTCACAAAATCTTTTGAAATGACGCTCGCCAACAACTTTCTTATCTCTATCTCTTTCCAAGTATAAAACTGGTCAATTTAAAATATGCACTTCTTTAAAAATAAAAATATTCGATACAGGTAATCGTACAGTTATCACAGATTTAGTTCACAAACGGAATGTGCCACTACGAGAGTAATAGAGGAGGGGAAGCATAGATTTCTGATCGTCTAGGCATGGAGTGATGGTTTTTAATTTATTTTAATTTAGATTTTAATTTAGTTTTTAATTTGTTTTATTTTATTTCGATTCGATCCGACTAGATTTGATTTGGATTCGATTCGATTGGATTTGATTCGATCGATTTGATTAGGATTCAGTCGATTCGATTTGACTCAACTCGATCCGATTCGGATTCTTACAATTCTATTTGATTTAACTGGGACTCGATTCGATATTCGATTTGATTCCATTCGATGCAATCCAACTCTAATCGATCAGAGGCAAGGCCGTAAAGCAAAAGGACTTAGAATTTGACTTCGAGAGAGGCACTAAGTCCGTAGAATGTCTTTTATGAGGGGAAGACGCCGTTGCATAATTGATCAGTATTAATTTGGCCCGGCAGTATATAACTGCTATTACTCTTTTCCTTTACTTCCTCTTAAGCGACTGTGGTATAGCGCAGCTCAATGGTTATCCCACTATTTCTTCAAATACAATCAGATGAATTTGTCAGTACGTGTGGTTTAAGTTAAATAGGACACATTGTGTAGTCATAGTTGATGCCTATCTTAAATACCTGAAAGTATTTGAAATATGAAGTATAAGTTAAATGATGACAATTACAGTACTAAAGAAGAATGTGTTAATAGGCAAGCCTTTGGCTTACCTATTAACACATTCTGTGCGGATGGCATACATGTGAGCCACAAGGTGCCTTTACCAATATGCGGACGGCGCTCATGTATGCCACACCGATTATACACATTTTTAATATGTGTTTTTTTACAGGAATACGCCGAATGATTTAAATTTACTATTATAGTTGGATAAGGTATTATTTACTTATAATTACATTGGTTTTAGAATACATCAACAAATGAAATATCTATCAACAAATAAAATAATGGTTGTGCTGTATAATATTTTAATAAATAAATTTTGAAGTACATATAAGATATTGTATGTAATTATTATCTCTAAATGACGTATATGCCAGACGAGAATCCACTTATGAATAAAAAAGGTTGGAATCACTTATGCAATGCTCTTCAGATCGAAGTTAGTGTAAAATGGTCCGTGAAACTAAGCGAGAACGCCGAGAACCTAAATATTTTTAAAATCGTCGCGTCATTTGTATAGAAAACGTTGAAATACACGCAGTTCGTGGTAAATTGCAATTTAATCGAATATATTCTAAAATTTCTAAATCAAGTAAAGTATCTGGGAAAAAATAAAAAAAAATTAGTGAAGAGGAACTATTACAAATGTTACTAGAAAGTGATAGTGAGATAGACGAGTTTGAACTTAGTGATGTTTCTTACAAACCTAGTGACGAGGAAAGTTCTGACGATGACTTAGGTAAAAAAGATTTTTAAATTTTCGAAAATGTATCTCTTATTATTTTTAGATGATATCACTAATATTGAGGAACTGAACCACCTATCGCTAATATTGAGGAGGTAACAGAACTACCTATCAATGACCAAGTAACCGTTACTCCTAAAAAAACAAATAAAGTTAGATTCTGGAATGAAACTCAATGTTACATGAAGTCCATTCTATTTACGCGAACACAGAATTTTCTTGTGGACATGGGTGAGCATAAAAATGCATTTGATTTCTTCTGCCTACTGTTTGATGATGAATTAGTGCAACTTATAGTTAATCAAACGAACATATATGCGAAAGGCGAATTATCGAAAAAAGTAGTTATCAAAAATCTCGCATATCTTCATGGAAACCTGTGACAGCTGAAGAATTACGTTGTTTTATTGGTTTGCTGTTTCACACTGGAACAATAAATTGTTCAAGATTGTCAGATTATTGGAGAACTAATAGATTATTTAGTTTGTGTTTTGGACAATATATGAGTAGAGAGTAGAGATCGTTTTCTAGCCATCTTAAGGTACTTGCATTTCTCCCCCCACCCCTCCAACAGAAATTCCTGTAAATGATCAGCTACATAAAATCCGACCATTGTTGATTATTTTAATGAAAAAATGAATAAAATCTATTACCCTGAAAAAGACATCTTTGGATGAGTCCATGGTCCTGTGGCGTGACACGACTTGTGTTCCGACAATACATAAAAAATAAGCGACACAAATATGGGGTTAAATTTTATATTTTGGCCGAATCTGATGGCTTACCTTTAAAAATTGTTATATACACGGGTCAACTGGATGAACTGGGAGGATCAGGTCACATGGAAAAAGTCGTCATGTATCTAATGACGGAAAAATTAAACGTGGGACATTCTTTGTTCATGGACCAATGTTCTGAGCTGTTGGACGTGAATCCCTGTCCTGGCATTTGGTTTTCACCTCTGGCTGCGTTGAGTAGTTGAGTTACTGTGACCAAATGCCCATCTTGGTAGTTAGTATTCGCCTCTGGTTGCGTTGAGTAACTGAGTTACCGTTGCTAACTACCCATCTTCCTGTCTTCTTTTTCTTTTTCTTTGTTCTCCTGAAGAAGCTACATACAATTGTAGCGAAACGTCGAGATGAACCCACTTTTGGGTCACCCACAAATGACACGGTCCAAACCCGGAAGACGAATAAACTATAATCCCACTATACATCTGTTTTATAGATTACCGTAAAGCGTTCGACAGGGTCAAGCGGAGACACTTATGGCGAATACTAAAAGAAGTAGGCGTACCACAACATCTAATTACGCTTACCACAACATCTAATTAATTATGAACACACTATTGGATCAGTTAAAGTACTTGACACACTTTCGAACGAGTTTCATCCAGAACGAGGTGTCAGACAAGGATGTATACTATCTCCACAATTATTCAACATATATGAAGAGTATATTATGCGAAGAGCACTAAAAGGATGGGAAAAGGGCATCTCAATAAATGGTCATAAACTAAACAACCTACGTTTCGCAGATGACACAGCCCTTCTTGCAAATAGTCAAGCAGAGCTGATGGAACTTATACGACTGATCGAAAACGAAAGTCAAATATTTGGTCTGCAATTAAACATATCAAAGACAAAGATCATGATAGTGGATAGACTACACAACAATCATCCACACATAACCACAATTGACCGGTTCGAGGTTGTGAGCTCATACTTATATCTGGTATCATTAATCACAAACACAGGGTCATTACAAGAAGAGATTATACGTAGATGTGATCTAGCAAAAGTTGCCACTAGATACAAACATTAAAATTAAATGTCATAATACTAAACATAATTACCTGGATTTGGATGTAGCTTAGACTGTGCAGCATGTGTTGATGGCTCTAACAAAAATGCCGGTGGAGGCGGCAGATTTTCTAGACTACCTATGGCAGCTGTGTTTGTTATAGAAGAAGTACGTCTTATGGGCGGTGGTGGTTTCTGATTTTGTACAGATCCTCTTCTTAAAAGAGTGCTACGCAGGGTTACTCCACCTAAAAAGTGTTACATAGAGATTGCATTGCACATCAAAATGGTTTTGAAAATACGTTTGGTTTGGTTAGAAAGATTCGTGTTCTCATTTAATGCAAAATGGATTAAAAGTTTTACAATTCTACTTACACCTGTTTCGGCAGAGTGACTTTCTCAAGTGCCGATTTAATATGCCGATTTAATGACTAGCTAGGTACTAAAAAACCTACCTACCATAAACTATTGTGAAACTTATTAATCTTATTAATGTTGCTTTTAGGTTAATGTTCCATTCGATGACAGCTATCATCAAGCTCAAATATAACAAAGCACCAGGTCCAGATATGATAACAGCAGAAATGCGTAAAGCCACAGAAGAAACCGGCGTAAAGTTACTTCATCTACTCTAACCAAATATGGCATTCCAAACAATGGCCTGAAGACTGGACAAAATCTACAATAACGACCATACATAAAAAAGGCAGCTTCCATAAATGCGACAATTATAGAACTATCTCTCTTATATCCCATGCTAGCACACATACATATAATACACATACATATAATGAATGAGAGACTGAAAACATTCCTTCAAAGAAAAATTCCACAAGAGCAAACTGGATTTACCAAAGGTAGAGGCACTCGAGAACACCTGCTGAATATAAGACAGATGATCGAGAAATCTAGGAAATTCAACATCCCACTATACATCTGTTTTATAGATTACCCTAAAGCGTTCGACACTATACATCTCTTTTATAGATTACCGTAAAGCGTTCGACAGGGTCAAGTCTAGTCAACTTATGGCGAATACTAAAAGAAGTAGGCGTACCACAACATCTAATTACGCTTATAACTGAACTAAATGAACACACTACTGGATCAGTTAAAGTACTTGACACACTTTCGAACGAGTTTCATCCAGAACGGGGTGTCAGAAAAGGATGTATACTATCTCCACAATTATTCAACATATATGGAGAGTATATTATGCGAAGAGCACTTGAAGGATTGGAAAAGGGCATCTCAATAAATGGTCATAAACTAAACAACCTAGGTTTCGCAGATGACACAGCCCTTCTTGCAAATAGTCAAGCAGAGCGGATGGAACTTATACGACTGATCGAAAACGAAAGTCAAATATTTGGTCTGCAATTAAACATATCAAAGACAAAGATCATGATAGTGGATAGACTATACAACAATCATCTACACATAACCACAATTGACCGGTTCGAGGTTGTGAGCTCATACTTATATCTGGGATCATTAATCACAAACACAGGGTCATTACAAGAAGAGATTAAACGTAGATATGATCTAGCAAAAGTTGCCACAGCAAAAATTACCAAAATATGGAAGGAATGTCAAATTTCAAGAGCGATAAAGATGAGGTTGATCAACTGCTTAATATTCCCAATACTGACCTACAGATGTGAATCTTGGACTCTGAGACAATCGGAGAGAAGAAAGATAGACGCCACTGAAATGTTCTGTTGGAGACGAATGTTACGAATTCCTTGGACCGACCGTAGAACAAATAATTCAATTTTAAGAGAGCTAAAAGTTAGCCAACGACTCTCTAGTAAAGTCCATCTCCAAAAATTAAAATATTTTGGGCATGTTATGAGAGCAAACACAGAAAACATGGAAAGACTCATAATACAAGGAAAGGTAGAAGGCCGAAGATCACGAGGAAGATCCCCAACAAGATGGATAGATCAAATTACAGGAATATGCCAAAGACCTATGCATGAATTAAAAGAAATGACCAGAGACAGAGATCTCTGGAGACGGACAATACACGACATCACGTCGACCACTACACTCCCCCTGGGGGTCAGGATTGAAGAGAGAGGTTAACGTATGTTCCCAGATTATGAAACATAGCAGAATTCATAATGACTGCTAAACGAGGAAAACCTCCGAATGAAGTTTCTTCGTACAGACCGATATCATTAATTCCTATAATATCAAAGATATTCAAGACTCCCTTAATCAAAAGAATGAACACAATTATTGAAACACAAAACTTAAAATGCGTGCTTATTGAAATAAGCACGCGACAGTTAACCAAGTGCATAGAAGCATAAATATCATTGAAAAATCTTTAGAAGAAAAGAGGGTATTGTTTTAAAACAAGTTATTAATATTAGTTGAATTTTGTTTTCACAAATATTGGCTTGAATCTTATGTGATAGACTATACTTGCTTACAAAATATTTGTCTCATAAGTGCCTTATAAGGGCGTTGGGTTATAACGACTGACCGGCCAGTCTATTGAGATAAAAATTGGTTCTAGCAAAAATAATTAGTAGCAGATGAGTGGGTCGTCTCAAGTTGCTAGCCTAATGTGCGATACGCTCTCTCTCTCTCTCTCTCTCTCTCTCTCTCTCTCTCTCTCTCTCTCTCTCTACGTCTCCAAAAATGCAGTTAAAAGTGCATAAGTTTTCGCTGTGAGCAAAGAAATTCAATAAGCTTTCTCTCAACAATTGGTTGAGATTACGGCAAAGTTTCACTAGGTATGTTTTACTATATTTCTTGATGTTGCTCAAGCCTTCGATAAAGTATGGCATGAAGGTTTGATATATAAGCTAAAAACATTTATGCCCAAGCAGTATTCGCAAATTTTAGAGTCTTATACATCTGAGAGATACTTTAAAATTAAACAAGAAAACACCTATCCAGACATAAAAGAAATTAGAGCAGTAGTTCCGCACGGTAGCGCGTTGGACCCGGTCCTTTATTTGCTATAAACGTGCGACGTAAATCTGTTACAACATAATATACCATTGCCACCTTCGCGGACAATACTACCATTTTAGCGGTAGACGACACTATCGAAGATGCAATAAACAAACTACAAACAGCAGTTAACAAAATACATTTCTAGATGAAAATGGAAAATTAGACCGAACGAAAATAAATCTGTCGACGTTAGTTTTACCAATAAAGAGATATAAAATATACCAGTTACAGTTAATAATAATCAATTACCCTTTGCAAATGCGGTAAAATACCTAGGTATAACATTAGATGCACAACTACTCTGGAAAGTTTATGTTAAGAAAAAAAGAGAACTTAGAATAAGATACAAAAAAATGTATTGAATGCTTGGAACTAAGTCCTATCTATCTATATACAACAAGCTTTTACTTTATAAACAAATACTACGATATATTTGGACTTATGATAGGCAACTCTTGGTGTGTGCCAAGAAAAGAAATATAGAAATATTCCAAAAATTTCAGAATAAAGTATCGAGAAACTCCTTGTAAGGAGAAATGCTCCTTGGTACGTGAAGAACAGCGACCTCCATCAGGACCTGGGTATGGAAACTGTGGCTACCATAATAAAAATACGGTTGAAAATCATAAAAAACGACTCCATAGCCGTGTGAATGTTAAAGGGTTGTTGAATTTCTGAAGGGTTGTTGTACATTTTTACTTTTATTGAATTTAAAATATTCTATCTTTTTTAGATACTTTTAGATATTATGTGAGCAATTTATTAGAAAGTGGTAAAAATGGCATAAGTTTGATATGTTATCTCACTATGGTTTATAATAAAAAGTTCTTAGCCGTACTTTCTATCTTTAATTTATTTATATACAATAAAGGTTGTTCTAATATCAGATTTAAGCCATGGAGCTCTCATTCCACCTAACGGAAACAAATCTTTCATCGTAGATATCTAGGGTATTAAAACAATTGAGTTCTATAATAAAAATGCGAGAGTGTCGACAGCATACTAAAGTTTTTGAAATCAAGTGCATGAAAGTTCACAGCAGATAATTGTAAATAAGAATATTAAGGTAGTAATCGTCAAGCAAGCACATCTTTCTACGTTATAAATTTGGATGCGGATTAGTACAATATCTTGAATTAGAGGAGGTTATTGCTTTGTTTTAAGCAGGTTTTTAAGCAAGTATTAATCTACATTTGTATCAGCAGTTCAAGTATTTATAAATATTTGTCAACAAGAGAGCAAATTAGTTAAATATAAAGCAAGTTGCTTAAACAGAGCTAGGCAAATAATAATTTTTAAAGTATATAAACTGGTAATTTTTGAATGCGCCAAATACAAAAATCATGATGTTTACTGTAGCCAAATATTTTTCATCATCTTTATGTGTAACATGTATTAATATTTTTGTTACATACACCCAACATAAAGAACATTATAATTTAAATTCGCTAATATATTTATATGAAACTTTATAACCTAAATTAACCCCCTCAGTGGCTCAGTGGGGTTTACGGGAGTCACAGGGGGGCACTAAGTGGAAACCAGATGGCCCAGACTCGGGTGAACAACAGATTTTTAAATTTCCAAAATATACTATTCGCGGAAATAATGATCCAAACCATCGAAATGGAAGTAGCGCAATCATTGTTGATAAGAACTGTAATGTCCAATCAGTCACTTAATCTTTCAGTCCAATCTCAGATAGAGTAGTTATGGGTTCTTTAACCAATGATAACAACGAAAAGTTAAATTAGAATCCAAGTATATGCTCCAACTTCCGACAAGACAGACGAATGAAATAGAACAAATTTCTATAAAGATATACAACAAGCCCTGGATTAATACAGAAGCATAGAGGATATCACGATTGTTAATGGGCGATTTTAACTCAAAAGTAGGGAAAGCGAGAAGTAGGAAGATATTTGTAGGGAAAGTATGGACTAGGTTTAAGAAAATGAAGAGGGGGGAAAGATTGGATGGAGTTCTGTCAAGAGGACAATGTCTGGTAGTTCCAAACACTCTATTTTTAAGTTTTACCCTAATCGTCGGACTCTACACCAGGAGATCGCGTGCGGATAATGATAGGGAAAGTTAATTAGTATTAGAAACCAGATAGACTATGTTTGTAATAAGAAAAAGGTTTCGGAACTCCATTTAAATCAGGCAAAAAACCTACCCTGGGGCTGATGCAGCCACAGGACCACAATCCCGTTTGTTGTAGTCATTCGATCTCCGATTTAAAAAACTAACTGCACGTTGCAATAAGAATCAAATCAAACGTTCATTATTTTTGAAAACATTCATTTTGTAAGAGATTCAGCTAATCCCAAACAAATGAAACGAGGGAAATAAAGCTGACTATAATCGATCCCAGAGACGAAGATTCGAACAGGAAAATGGGAAACATATAAAAACAGAATGCTGAATCCAACGAAGGAGATTTACTAAAAGGAAAGAACAATAGATAACACAACAAAGTCATGGAATTTAATGATGGAGAGACCTGCAATTGAAGGGAATAGCAGAAGAATGTAACAGAACGTAGACATCGATAAAATATAAAGACATATAAGGGTTAATTAGAAAGAAAATAAGAGACCCAAGAAAATGGTACGCAAACAAGTGTGAGGAAATAGAAGTACTATTGAAAGGCATATGACCTTTAATCTACATAGGAAGGTAAAAGAATGGCCGGCATCAAAAAACAAACCACAGTAGTGTTCTATTAGATGAAAAAGTAAAATTATCCTTGATAACAACAAGAAAATAAAAGATGGAAACATACATACAGGAATTATTTAAAGAGAGGACACCAGAAAACATAAACTATACAACAGTAGAGAAACGGGGCCCAGTATAACAAAAGAAGAAGTCATGCATGCAGTAAAATTGGCAAAGATAATAAAGCTACAGGTCCTGATGAGATACCACGGAAATTATAAAATTAATCGCAGAAGATCAAATAGATATACTAAAAGACTTGTACAACACCATATATGATACAGGCGTCCATTCCAAAAGAATGGCTTAAGTCGACGTTCGTGACTCTACCGAAAAAAGCAAACGCTAGAGAATGCTGTGGACCATCGAACCATCAGCTTAATGAGCCACACTCTAAAGATATTCTTGAAAATTATAACATCAAAAGAATTTTCAGAAAACTGGAGCAAGATATTAGTAACACGCAGTTTGGCTTCAGAAAACGCAATGGGGTACAAGAGAGGCCTTGTTTGCCCTGAATGTATTGGCCCAAAGATGTTGGATTTAACCAACCTCTTTATTCTGTTTCCTTGATTACAATAAGGCATTTGACAAAGTCAGACATAATCGACCTCCTACAGCTACTTCAAGATAAAAATCGGATTGAAAGATATTAAATAATATCAAACCTTTACTTTAATCAAGTTGCATCTGTAAAGGTTGGCAACGAACTATCAGAAGAAATAGAAATACAACGAGGGGTAGGCAGGGATGCATATTGTCTCCGCTGCTTTTAACCTCTATTCAGAATGAGGTGTTCAGAAAGCACTAAAGAAACATCAAGTGGAAATAAAAGTCAACGGAGAACTTATAAATAATAACATCAGATACGCCGATGATACTTATAGTAATCGCAGAGTCCAGTTGAAGAATTGCAGGTTCTGATAAATAAGATTGTAGACAGTAGCGAAGAGCTGGACTTACTTTAAAAAATATCAAAAAGACGAAATTCAGTGACCATCGCAAAAGACACAACAACAGGACAACGTTATGGATTAAGGGACGAACTCGTTCAAAAGGTGAACAGATATTACATACTTGGGAACAATCATAACCGAAAACAAGCGATTACACACAGGAAATCAAATCACGTATAGGAAAAAAGCCCGATCAACATTCAATACTATGAGAAAAATACTTTGCAGCAATGATCTGAGTCTGCAACTTAAAGTACGAATGCTTAGATGTTATAGTATTTTCTGTGTTATTATATGGAATGAGAGGCTTGGACGCTTAAAAAAGATATAAGTAACAGAATAGAAAGCGTTTGAGATGTGGGCTTATAGAGAAATTTTAAAAATAAGTTGGATCGATAAGGTTACGAACAACGACGTTTTAAAAAGAATAGAACAAGGAAAAAGGAAGAATATTAAATACAATTAAAATAAGAAAATTGCAGTATCTGGTCATGTCATAAGAGGTGAGAGATATGAGTTGCTGCAAGATCATTATACAGGGAAAGATACTGGGCAGAAGAAGCATAGGCCACGACGTCGTGTATCCTGGCAAAACAATTTGAGGCAGTGGAACAATTGTCACTCTGTATGAGCTGTTTTAGAGCCAGCAGTGTCAAAGGTGAAGATAGCCGTGATGATAGCCAACCTTCTTAAAGGAGACGGCACTTAAAGAAGAAGAGAGAAGGGGCCTCAGTGGGTATAAGAGAGCCTACCTTTGAACCGAATAGGTCGAGATTTCTGAATCCCACCTTGTGTGGAAATTTTCGTGTTATTGAAAAATTAATATAAATGAAAATTAATTTCTATCCTTGTGCGATCGGTACTCACCAGAGGGACCGCAGACGTTCGGATACAATTAGCGTCTCTTAGCAAAGACAATGACGTCGACTTTGCTAAGTATCAAGACAATTACTCTACACAGACACACACACACTACACTAGGTACCTGACTGTACCATGCCAATGATCATAGTTGTCGAGGCATTAACTCAATAATTATAAATATAACCTAAGGAACATATCCGAAAAAAAGAAACAAGACCTAACCAAACTTTACATTGACCCGTCAAACAAAAAATGTCATGTAATTCTCATGGTGATTATATTACTACCTACAGGTAGAAATGAGCTTAAATTACATTTTTTTTTTCGATTGCTCTATATAATGTGGTTAACCGGTGAAATCCACACCTGAAAAAAAATGTGTCTTTTCACTGCTTAAAACTTTGAACAGACAGAAAAAATGAGAGTAATTTTACGTCAAAATATCCTAATTTCACAGACTAATAAATTTTTCGTGGCGCTTTTTTATTAACGCAAAGAACCATATTTTTAATTTATAATCCAAGTTACCTTCTAAATGGTGAATTTCTTCAAAGTTAAATGCAGTCTGACTGCCATATCCACTGGAAGATTCTAGAGAACTCTCACTGGTACTACTTTCCTTTTCACCTTCATTAGTCTGAAATACAAAATGCATATTATGGGAAAAATATAACAATAAAGTTATTAAAAAAGAATGCTAGTTTAAAAACATGCTTGCGAAATGTAGAATACATTATAATGGAACCCCTTCTTTAATAAAAAACAATCCAAAACAGGCCAGAAGGTGATGGATGCAAAGAGTTGTTCGCATTGATTGTTTGAAAAAGGACAACTAGAAAAAAGGATCACAGGTGTAACTGCCCATAATATGCATCTTTATTGGGCCAACCCGACGCCGATTTAAGGAAAATGACAGGTTTGTCTTGCAAAAAAATTGTCTTCCGTCGAATCAAAGCACCTCTCCCAAAGAAGTCGTAGCGGAAGCAAAATTACACCAATCAAATAGAACTAGATCAAACACCACCACATTTGGCAGAGTTAGCCCCATGTAATAATTTCCTGTTCTCAAATCTAAAAACTAGTTCATAAAATGCAGTATTGCAACAAACGATGAAGTCCTAACCAAACTTCATATTATTTTGAGAAGGATAAAGCCCAATTTACTATTCAGAAGGGATAAAAAAGAAAGAAATGAGATTATGGTGGAAAATTAAAATGAAGAAAATAATAAAAATCCTGCGTTATTTACTTCAAACTATATCAATGTCAAACTAATTATGGAAGTCAATTGTCCAAAATAATTACTGAAGCGACAACGTGGAAAACCATATCAAATACCCTATATCATAACGGAGTATGCAATAATACCAGTATTTTTTATAAGAAAAAGTTATAGATTCCATTCGAAAGACTAACCTTTTCAGGTGGACTAGTAAATTCGGAAGGTGGCGGTGGGAACGTCTTTTCAGGATTTTTGGAAGCTGCGGCACTCATCAGTTCGTGCATATTAGCATATGTCGGCTGCATATTACTACTATTCTTCGAAAGGTGCGAAGGCAATGGCGACGGTTTCTTTACTAACGACAATTCAGCCCCAGGAGGTAATACTCGCACGCCTTGTGTAATAGTTTTGGCAGGAATATTTGGACCACTTGGACGCTCCAAGGATGAACACCTCTGAAAATTACGAAAATGTCATATTTTATTTCATTTAAACTAAAAGTTGTACAGGGGTGGGCATAAGTCAGATGGCAAATTTCAAAAACAATTATGTACACAATAAGTGTTCAAAATGTTCACCATTCATCTCAATGCACTTCAAATAACATTTTTCGATCATCGATAATAATGCGAGAAAGCATCGCGGGATCTTGATTGATAATATGTAACTTGATTGTTATCGCGAAAAACCCTCTTAAGCATTGAGAAATCCATAGAGGTAATGTCTGGCGACCTTGGAGTCCCCAGTTCGTTTCCACAACTACAAATACGTGCAAGAAAATGCTGGTTTAGTTTCATAATCGCGATCCTCAAAGTAAAACTGCTTTAATAAAAACACAAGCGTAAATTCAACGCGAACGTTCTCTACCATTTCACTCGAAACAAAAAGGCTAAACGCACGAAAAAACCAGTATTCGTTCGTTTACTGGTCGACTGACTTATGCCTAGCAGGCCGTGTTACTAGGTAATGTATGCTGAACGCGGGAGAGAGCGCTGAAATTCGCTTATGCGTCGTTTGCGAGGACGCCAGCTGACTTGTATCCACTCCTGTATTGGGTTTACTTTAAAATATTGTTATTTTTAGTTCTTAGTTGTATAGTTTATTATATATATATATAATATTAACCCTTCACTATTATTAAAAAGTTCTTGGTAATAATAAACGATGTGGTAAAATGAACTACTTATTACTAACTTACCAATGGTAAAGGTGGTTTGGACAAGGACTTAATGGATATTCCTGGACTTTTCGGAGGCACTATATTCGAAGTAGTGTCAGTAGGTCCCGTTGAAGTAACTGGACTGGCCGGTTGAGATAAAGTTTGATCTGGGGCTTGGAATGTATATACAGTTAGAGGAGGTCGTTGGTGTCCTTTTTCATAAGCTAAAAATAAAAATGTATTAGTACCGTAAAGATTTTAAATAATACGAGCGGTCTTAATTTATATAAATTAATTAAACATTTACAGCACGACATTATCTTCAAAACTCCATACTAAACTAATACCAGCGCTCCTTATATACAGAAATACTAATTCTAGAACCATCTAGATTAATCCATCTACATTCGTTACTACGCCGTATATACTAGAATGCCAAGGTCACTATTCCACACGCCTGCTTCATTGTATTTTATGGAATATCTCTGTCGCTATTTCAAACTTCGCGAAGATTCTCGTGTATGAGTCATCTTTCTGCCGAATCGCAACCATTGATACGGCGATACGCTACGACGATGAATGTCGTTCCTTTACGTTACAGTACTGTTTAGGTGATTAAATACTTATTATATCTGAATCATTTCATTATTATACATACATCTTCAATCCAAATTCCAATGCTGAATGACGCTTTGTTGCGACCATTCACGTCTTCAACGAGTGACTTGACCTTCGTTGTGCCTTTGCTTCACATATAAGTTTATTTAAACTCACATACTAATATTCTGTTCAACCTATATGTGGCCGAAGTATCTTAGCATTTCTCCAGACAATTATGGAAACTTTTTGCGACACACCAGTTTTGCGACACGATTGGTGGTGGATAAGATATTTGTATAAAGGAGCAAGATATAAAACAGCAAAGAAAAATTAAAGAAAAAAAAAATTGGTTGGGACACCACCTCGTTTTTAATCAGGGCATACAAGGAAACTAGATCACATTAAAATAAATGAGAAAATAAAAAAGAATAAGAATTGATATAATTAAAATAAAAAGTTACCTTACTATGAATGATCTAACAAAAAGTCAGTTATAGAGGAAGGAAATAAAAAGAGTAATGTAATGACTCACATTATTTTACATAAAATTCAGAAAATCATATATATACACAAAAAAATTGTAGAAAAATATTAGAACTAAAGCAGAAATACACTATTAAAATTGACATATAAAAATATAAACAAAAAAAACAAAATAAACTTGAAGTGTTAAGTATTTAGTGTGCCTATCTATAGAATGTACTTATCAAATATTCTAAGACATAGCTAACTTCGCACATGTAACGAAAACGGTGTTGTCTTTGCAAGAATCTCTCTAAAAGAGACCATTACAGATGGTCTCGCTCCTGGCGAGACTACTCTCTAAGCAACTTATTTGTAGCTGACGCTTGAAGTGTTTTGTATTTACTGAAATAAAATGACAAGCGACATTATGTATTTATTGCGATAAAATAGCGCGACAATTTGCGTGTCTTTCCTTCTGAATGTATACTCTGACTGTCAGGTCGAAGTGAGTAGCATGAGTAGCATCTATGCGCACTGAATTTAGACTTAATTTGGGGGATATTGGCGCGTACACCATTTCTTTTCGCTTACCTATTCCAAACCCCTATTAAGTCACATAACTCAAACTGCAATCGTTTAGGCAACGACACTAAAAGATTACGTTTTTGACTCAAGAAGTGTAGGAACATTATGTTTGATGTCCCGTTATATATGAGTTCAGTCTTGATTCAGTTTCAATTTGATATCGCTTAAGAACTTCGCCAAAACGCGACGTTTGAAGCGTCCCGGAATCAATATTTTTGGCACCGAACGGATACATAACGTCCTAAAACACAAGTCCCTCTTAACATCATTTAGCTCAACAGAGTTCATGAAAATTGTGGAAAAGTTTCAAGGATACCAGGACTCATAACACAATCATCTTGAACTTTTATAACTTGTACGACTTTCGAACTGAAAACCTTGTATGTTAACATTTCCATAAAACATCGTAAAACTGTAATGCCACTTAAAAATAACATTTTAACAATATCTATATCTGTAATACACTTCTATGTATCTTACCTGATGATATGGTGTGTGGTCTGTCGTTGATAATAGCCGATGCTGCCCTTTCGAACTGAATAGTTTCTTGTAAATTGGGCCAGGTGGCTGTCGTTGTGGGAGCAGCTGTCAGTGGAAAAGGAGTGCAAGGCGTACTAGAACTACTACTGTTGTTACTGTGCTCGGACATATTGGAAATCTGAAATACCAGCTATTTTACGTCTTAATATTGTTATTTATATAATGCCTTAACCCAATCATAGACAAATTTAACATCCCCATAAACTAATATGACTGGTGAGGTCATATATGAATAATACATAAAATTATCTGCAAAATACAAAAAGAAATATAAAGATTCATCAATGTTTGAAATATATTGGAGAAGAATAGGGAGATTCGTTTTAACACAGTCTTGAATAAAGTGGAAAGAAACACTAAATAAGACAATATAATTATTTTAAATAAATATTCGCAAAATATGGTCTACGCAGATGGCTTGGACTTCAGCTCTTGCACGATATGCAAGAAATGTTTACTACTTTTTCAACTTTACTAAAAAATGATCCTGAAAAAAAAACTAAAGTGGTGACATCATTGGACTCACTTGTGACCAAAGAGAAGTCTATTATATAATGGCTATTGTAGACTGAACAAACGGTTAAAAAGTAGAAAGTTACGCCAAAAAACAAAAATAAAAATACACAAAACTTTTATTTTACCAGTGCTATAATACATATCCGGAACACGGAGCACCTCCAAAATAAACGAAAACCTTTTACTCGGCTTTGAAAGAAGGATACTGGGAGAAATATTAAGCGATATCATTAAAAATTCTGGAGAGGAGGTATAATCAGAAAATATATAACAAATACGTGTACATATCCGTTCGAAAACGATGTCATATCTCTTATAAAAATAAGAACATCGAGATAAGCAAGACATTAAACACGATCACAACAGAACATCCCTAAACAAATCCCTATGTCCCAGCACGTACTGGCTGACCAAAATATATATGGCGGGGGGGGGGGGGGCGAGGTGTGTAGTGACAATTGGACAAACTGGCAAACAATATCGAAGAAGACTTGGTTGAGGCTCTACTTCAGAGTTGTAGAATAAGTCTTTAATTATACATTAGTGACATCATGAATAGGCATGCCATATCCACTTTGGGCAAAGGAACCATCAAAGTAAGAGTAGATGGAGACTGTTATCATCTCAAAATTTGTCCATAAAAGACTTTTACTAGGATCCGCTAACGATATTGCAATCGTCGTCAGGGGCAAATTCGCTGAACTTGTATCTGGGAGAAAGCAAGCAGCTCTAAATATATTCGGTAAATAGTGTAAAAAAAAGAGACTGACAGTCAATGCTCAAAAAAAATCGTCAACTTCACACAACAGACAGCATTATAAGGAATAAAATTACTGGTGCTGGGAGGAACAGAGATTCCATTTGCCAAAGAAACAAAATACCTAGGGGTATATTTCGATCAGAAAGCTACTAGGCGTTTGGCCAGATTTAGAAGGATGTGCGATAAGAATTGAGGGCTCAACTCCAAAATGATGTTATGGTATACACAAGGGTTATTAGACCAATGATAACCTATGAGTCTGTGACGTGGTGGACAAAGACGCAGCAAGTGGGAGCAATAAAGCGGCTAAGTAATACACAAACGCTAGCATGTCTGTGTATTATGGGGGTCATAAAAACAGTTCCTACAGCGGCGTTGCTGTTTTGATAAATATTCCACCACTTCATATCTTTAAAAAGGACGAAACCAAATCTGTGATGAACAGATTAATACAGTCAGCAACACAAGAGCCAGGCGTATAGTGCTGACAATAGAAAGCTAATCGAGGAGCTTAAAAAGAAAGGGACAAAGCAAGGAATACATTTCCCGATAAGTCTATCTACGGATGTTACAATTTTCTAGGCGGAAATAACGGCAACCGATCATTGCGTGAAATAAATAGAATGCACCGTTCAGTTGCCATCTTCAGAGAGAGCCAGGCAGCGCTTAAAGCACTTAATTCTGTAGATGTCAATTCTAAGCTAGTATCGCAGCATTGGAGTATGAAGCCGTGAAGAATGTGTCCGTCATCAATGCAAAGTCCATCAAGAAAGAGATGTTGTCGAAGTGGAAGAAGGCAAATATATTGCCCCAGGTGTTGGCCGCCCAATTTGAGAAATATCTCCGCCCAATAGCTGATTCTTTAAAACAAAAACGTCAACGTATAAGACCAGAGGAGAGAAAATTTGGGCCATTCCCACCACAGCAACGCAGTTCTCAATATCCACAATAAGACGAAGCAGAGACAGTTTAGATGCCGATGGACTTCTCAATACTCTCCGAGCAGGAAGAAGTCATACGAATGCCTACGGGCTCTTGGGAAGATCATGCGAGGAGTGCAACTGCCGATTCTTTGAGCGCCAAGGAGATAGAGGGGGATAGACTCGACAGTTGAAAACCATAGAGGGCGAAAGTAAAGAAGAAAATCTAACCAAGGAAAACCTCTAGGCTGAACAGAAAAAAGAACCAGATCCAAATCTAGTCCGTCAGCAGAAAAAAGATCCAGATCTAAATCTAGTCCGTGAGCAGAAGAAATATCCAGGTCTAAAGCTAGTCCTTGAACCGACAAAAGATCCAGATCTAAAACTAGACCGTGAGCAGAGACAAGATCCAGGTCTAAAAATAGTCCGTGAGTGGCTGGACAATGGAGCTAGGCTACAGTGGCAGGAGATTATCAAATATGGGCAAGCAGTGAAGGGCTATTGGCTTCGGTGGGACTCCTTGTGTCTGCGAGATGACGTCATCACTCGTAAATGAATGATTCCATATGGAACAAGAACAGTACCCCAAGTTAATTGTCAACTGGGGCAATATGCAACTTCTAGGTTTGCACTTCTTCCTAGTGCACTAGTATTCCAGTAACAACACCAGGAAAAAACTATTTGATGGTTGCTATGGACTATTTTTCCACATACCCAGAAGTAGTTGCAGCCGCGAAGCAATTACAGTTGGTTAGGCCGTGCTTGAGAATATCGTTTCCCACATGAAAACGTAATAATATTAAAGACATTGTATTTTGAACTGTTACTATTCGGGGTTACAACCATTTACAAATGATCGGAGTGCCTTAGTTGTTGCATTTTTAATACAGACTGTTTAAGACCTTACAAAATCAATTTCAAAACCATTCGAATTCTGACAGCATGATTGAAGTGATATTTTCGAGAGAATGCCTTATAAGTTACCGTTGCTGTTTAAATCGGAACGAATCTTACCTTAAAAAACGGTAGATTGTTAATTCTTTCTCAAAGTATCATGTGGAGCTGAAAAGGTATGTCGCTTTTACCCCTACAAACAGATGTAGAGAATTTTTAATCGGGAGGGTCAGTCGTAAAGGGGGTATTGTGTAGTAAAGAGACGGGACTACGGGATCCGTTGACGTAATGTTCTCTAAAACTTGTATTGAAAACCTGATGGATTAGGTAACATACGGACGAATACCCCATTGTAGTATAAATATAGATTATCTAATTACGCTCGATCAGTAGTTTAGATTTAAGAAGGAAGCTATTGTCCAAATAAACTAATAAAAGTTTTAAATAAAAGTATTCATTCAACGTTGTATGAAGTATTGAGACACATAATGAAATAATTGATGGATTCGACCGTTACTTGATGGAAATTCATTTTATGTAACAATAAAACACTGAAAACTTTGTTTTCAAACTTCCACAAAAATTATTTTAACTATTATCACTACAGCTGTTTCGGCTGATTGCCTTTCTCAAGTGACCTATTTTTGACTAAATTTATAGTCTCTAATGAAATAGGTTGAGGAGAGGAGAACTGTTTGTCTCAAGTTGGTCATTGCGAATTATATCTGTGTTTTTTTATTTGTTGATTTCCATAGATTCTAACAAAGATAGCTTAAGGCCTTTATTTTGAATGTGAAGAATTTTAAATTTGTCATTAAAAGAATGATTATGAGCTAGAAGGTGAAGTGCGTATGTCGAATCTGTTTTTCTATTCTTGAAAGCTCTTTTATGTTCTGCTATTCGTTTATCAAAGTTTCTACCAGTTTGACCGATGTAAGTTTTTGGGCAGTCGCCACATTGAAGTTTGTACACACCACTATTTAAATGTTGTTTTTTTGGCTATTGTTATTTTTAATATATTTGCCTAGGTTGTTATTTGTTCGGAAAGCTGGTGTTATTCCTTTCTTTTTTATGTGTTTGGCAATTTTTGTTGATATTTTGCCTGTATATGTAATCGAGCAGATGGTACTAGATTTTTTCTCTGGTGGTGGAAATACTAATTTCAGGGCTTTCTTGTGTAGTTTTTGATTTAACATTTTATTAATTGTTTGTTTGTTGTATCCGTTGTTTACTGCTATCTGCTTAATTATATTTAATTCTGTCTCAAAGTTGTATTTTGACATCGGAATTTCTGTTAATCTATGTAACATACTATGATAAGCTGCCAGTTTATGTTGTGTTGGATAGGATGACGAATTGTGTATAGTCGTGTCAGTATGGGTAGGTTTATGAAATATGGAGAAGTCATGTTTGTTTTGAAGTCTGCCAATTTTTAAATCTAAAAAATTTATGGATTGATTTTGTTCTGTTTCTATTGTAAATTCAATATGACTATGAAGTGAATTAATATATGATAAAAGTTGGTCAAGTTGCCTGTTAGTTCCTGCGAAACATACCAGTACGTCGTCTACGTATCTCCACCAATATAAAAACTGTTTGAATACGGGATGTTTTGAAATCTTTGTCTCTAGATGATCCATAAAAATATCTGATAGCAATGGGCTTAGAGGATTACCCATTATAAGTTCTGCACTGTTATTTGTATAAATTTTATTATTAAATTCAAAGTAGTCCTGGTTTATGCAAACTTCAAGAAGATGTAAAATTTCAGATGTAATTATTTGATTTGTGCTATTTTGGTCTAAAAGGTTTTTTACTAGAATAAAAGTTTCTGTAGGAGGGATACTAGGAAAAAGATTTTTTACGTCAAATGAAATTAATCTGGAATTGTTAGGTAATTGAAAATGTTGTATTTTATTAACTAGTTCTATTGTATTTTTTATGGTAAATTTAGGTGAAAATTTAGTGTGGTCTAAAATAATCTCTAACAGTTTTTTTGAAATTTTATATGACGGAGCTGTATAAAAAGAAACTACAGGTCTTATTGGGTGATCCGGTTTGTGTAGTTTAATGAAAGAATATAATTTAGGAGGCTGTGGGTTCATGATACTGAGGCATTTTTTTTCTATTGGATTTAGTATTGATTTTGAATTTTCTAACGCTAGCTTAATTTGTTTTTGATATTTTTCTGTCGGATCTTTGTGTAAAGTTTCAATATTTTGATTATTTAAGAATTCTATTGTTTTGTTATTATATTCTATTTTATCTATAGCAATAGTAGTGTTACCTTTGTCTGCTTTTGTAAACACAATGTTGTTTTCTATTGATTTATTTTTAATTGAAATTGCTGTTTTATTCTCTTTGTAACCGGAATTCTTAGTTTCACTACACACATCTGTAATAGATTTAGCAATTATACTTTTTTCGATATTGTTAGCAGTTTTGTTTAACGCTACTTCACATTCTACACCTAAATATTCTAAAGTTCTCTCATTATTATATTGGGGCAAGTTGTGTTTAAATCCTTTCTCTAAAAGTTGTATCTCGCTGTTACTAAATTTAGTATCTGTTAAATTTATAAATCTATTGAAAAAAGTATGGTTCGAAAAACTTTTTGTATAATGAATATTGGGTTTTTTACTATTGGAAATTAGATTATTTAGTTTTTTACACTGTGTATTGAATTTTTTATCTATTATATTATCTATATTAATTCTCACGTTAGAATCTAGGATGTCAAATTCTATATTATTTAATCTATAATTTAATTCTGAATGACATACCTTAAGATAAACAGCTATTATATCCCGCTTCTTGTATTGGTATTTTCTGTCTTGTTGAAGCCATTTGGTCTGACCGTGATGAATCCCTTTTTGTGCAGCGGGGCTGTGGTTTTTGGTTTTTAACTGAATATATTTCGGGAACACTTTATTTGACGTAAAAAATCTTTTTCCTAGTATCCCTCCTACAGAAACTTTTATTCTAGTAAAAAACCTTTTAGACCAAAATAGCACAAATCAAATAATTACATCTGAAATTTTACATCTTCTTGAAGTTTGCATAAACCAGGACTACTTTGAATTTAATAATAAAATTTATACAAATAACATTACATGTTACATACGATACAACGAATAAACAATTAATAAAATGTTAAATCAAAAACTACACAAGAAAGCCCTGAAATTAGTATTTCCACCACCAGAGAAAAAAACCCAGTACCATCTGCTCGATTACATAAACAGGCAAAATAACAACAAAAATTGCCAAACATATAAAAAAGAAAGGAATAACACTAGCTTTCCGAACAATAACAACCTAGGCAAATATATTAAAAATAACAAGAGCCAAAATAAAAAAACACTTAAATAGTGGTGTGTACAAATTTCAATGTGGCGACTGCCCAAAAACTTACATCGGTCAAACTAGTAGAAACTTTGATAAACGAATAGCAGAACATAAAAGAGTTTTCAAGAATAGAAAAACAGATTCGACATACGCACTTCACCTTCTAGCTCATAATCATTCTTTTAATGACAAATTTAAAATTCTTCACATTCAAAATAAAGGCCTTAAGCTATCTTTGTTAGAATCTATGGAAATCAACAAATTAAAAAACACAGATATAATTCTGAATGACCAACTTGAGACAAACAGTTCTCCCCTCCTCAACCTATTTCATTAGAGACTATAAATTTGTAAACCCAAGCCAAAATAGGTCACTTGAGAAAGGCAATCAGCCGAAACAGCTGTAGTGATAATATTTAAAATAAATTTTGTGGAAGTTTGAAAACAAAGTTTTCAGTGTTTTATTGTTACATAATGAAATGTTGACGATCTAATATTATACTTACAGCTATCAACAAACATTTAAAAAATATATGTATATGCTAAAAGTCATGTGTCGACAATGTTTGAAAAATATGTCTTACCTGGGCTGTACTAAACGCCGATGGTGGTCTAAGGAATAGTGTATCTTGTGACATAAATCCAGAATCTTGACTTGATACAGATCTAACACGCATTGTACCACTACGACCTACAGGCTGTTTGATAATAAAAAAATAAAAGAAATAATCAAAATAAATAAAAAAAAAACAAAATAATAAATAAAACTATACAAAGAAATAAAATAAATTACCCAAAGAAGTGAAGTTACCAGAAACTATTTATAAAAAACGGATATTTTTAATGATATAGGACATGCTCTAAAATGTAATTGCCATCTTATGACGAGTTCTTGAATGTTTCATTTTCATATCTTCTTCTCTAAGCTTCTCTAGCAAATGTAAAAATTTCACGTGCATGTCGAATTGCGCACCAAACTCTTATAACTGCAGCCATATTTATCATCTCTCATTATATGTCCCAAATAAACAACTATTCGTTATTTTATAGTTTGCAATAGTTTCCTCACAATAGCTGAAATACCATCCTTAGGACCCTCCTTAAATAAATAATGGGACCACTTAGAAGAAATACGATGTCGAACCATACCCGAATAAGGATTCTGAGATGATATACAGTGAACGGCGAAATTATGGAATATTATTATTTAGAGAACCGTCGAGTTTTGAGGGAAATCCCGAAACAGATCGATTTTTGTTATAAAATACCCATGTTATAACGGACATGGAGTAGGGATGATGTCACCGGTGTAAGGGTAGTGACGTAATCTTTATATTTTTTTAAATAGAAATCGGTATAATGCGCCACCTCATTTAAACGAGACTTTAATTCTCTATTTAACGACATTACATTTTTAACTAAAATATTTTTTTAAGTGCACAAAAACAATTGTTTTTAATTTAAATTCAACTAAATTACAACTAATGATTTAATTAATAATGTACTTTAAAGTAACCAAATTATGCATAATTATTTTAAGTGAAATATTCGAAATGCCATCCATCGGTTTCTTGACAATATGCAAATCTACGGACACATTCATCAAGTACATTGCGGATGACTTCGGGAATAATTAGCTTCATTTCATGCCTAATTCTATATTTCAAGTCCTGTATGTTTTGGAGTATATTGATATAAACTTTTGATTTTGTGTAACCCCACAGGAAAAAGTCTAGAGGTGTTAGATCTGGAGACCTTGCTGGCCACTCTATAAAACCTCTTCTTCCGATCCACGTCCTGGGAAAGTAATGATTTAAAAATTGACGTACTTCACGTGCGTAATGCGAAGGGACTCCATCTTGTTGAAACCAGATATTTTCACTAGGTAAATTTGGATACATGCTAGCAAGGACAGGTATAAGTTCATTTCTCAAAAAAGTTCAATAACGTTCTCCTGTTAGATTTTCTTCAGAGAAAAAAGGGCCAATGATTCTGTCATTAATAATCCCTGCCCATGCTTTTACTTTCTGAGGATATTGCGTGGGTGACTCAGTCATCCAATGTGAGTTTTCTTGACTCAATATCTGCAATTTTGATAAAAAATGTGGCTTCATCGGAAAAAAGGATTTGATTGATGAAATGTGGATTGCGGATACATTCTTCTTCTTTTTGTGCCACTCCTATCGGAGATTGGAAATCATCAAGGCTATTCTGACCTTGTTTACGGCTGACCTAAAGAGTTTATTAGTGGTGCAGCCAAACCACTCTCTCAAATTCCGCAACTATGACATTCTTCTACGGCCTGAATTCCGTTTTCCTTCTATTTTTCCCTGCATTATATTTTGAAGTAATGCGTATTTATGTCCTCTCATCAGGTGACCAAAATATTCGAGTTTTCTTCGCTTTAGCGTTAACAAAATCTCTGGGTCTTTTCCTATTCTTCGTATTACTTCACAGTTTGTTATTCTTTCAACCCAACTAATCTTCAGCATTCGACGGTAGCACCACATCTCGAAACTTTCAATATTTTTCATGTTGTTCTGTTTGAGAGTCCAGGCGTCTACACCGCATAATAGCGTGTTAAATACATAGCCTCTCAGCATTCTTAATCGTAGAGGGATGCTTATATTTCTGTTGCAGAAGAATTTTCTCATCTTTATGAAGGTGGCCCTGGCAATTTCGATACGTCTTTTTATTTCACTGTTTTGGTCTCGAGTTTCGTTTATTAAAGTTCCCAAGTATTTGTAACTTGATACTTTTTCAACTTGAGTGCCGTTTATACTAATATACGCTGGTTGTGTCATGTTTTTACTGAAGACCATATACTTGGTTTTTTTAATATTGATATTTATACCATAATTGTTGCAAGCAATATTTATGTCTGTAAGTAATCTTTGTAATTCTTCTACTGTTCTTGCAACTAGTACAGTGTCGTCCGCGTATCGAATATTATTTACAATCTCTCCATTAATTACGATTCCTCCGTTTGATTGTAAAAGGGCTTCCTGACAGATGCTTTCACTATATACATTAAATAACAGAGGTGACAAAATGCAACCCTGTCGTACTCCTCTACGTATTTCTATTGCTTGTGATGTTTCAGTTTCTATTTTGATGTTAGCTTTCTGATTCCAATATAGATTGAGAATTATTCGCAGATCTTTATTATCTATGTCCTTCCTTTCAAGAATCTCTCTAAGCTTATCATGGCGTACTGTCAAACGCTTTTTCAAAATCGATAAAACACGTATGTACCTCCTGATTAACGTCTAGGCATCTTTGTGTAAGAACATTCAAACCGAAGAGAGCTTCTCGAGCACCAAGCCCTTTTCTGAACCCCATCTGTGTATTACTAATATCTGACTCCAACTTTTGATAAACTCGGTTGTGGATGATTTTTAGAAACATCTTTAGTAGGTGGCTCATTAAAGATATTGTTCGATGTTCTGAACATTCTTTAGCATTAGATTTCTTTGGCAGTGTAACGAATGTAGACAACAGCCACTCTTGAGGTATAATACCAGTATTGCATATTGTATTAAATAAGTGCAATATTATACCTATTGATTGATCATTCAAGAGCTTTAGCAATTCGGTAGGAACCTCATCCGGTCCATTTGCCTTCCCAGTTTTGGAATTTTTAAGTGCCATTTCTACTTCACATTTTAGAATTTCAGGTCCCGTTCCGCCATATATCAGAACAATGTTATTTCTGTTGTCCTCAAATAATTCTCTTATGTATTCACTCCACCTATTAATTTTCTCTGTTAAATCTATAATAATCTTTCCATCTTTGTCCTTAAGCAAACTTATTTGACGTCTTCTTTGGGTTCCTGTAATTTCTCTTATTTTATGTATATTGAACGTATAATATGCGGATACATAAATCCTGCATAATTTCAGAAAATTGAAGCCGAGGATAGGGATCGTCGTCGTTTAATTCCTGATGTAATTGAATTTTGTAGAGATGGCATTTGTCTTTTTTTTAAAATATGTAATACCGATCGTTGGGAAACTCCAGAATATTCACCCATTTGTGTTGAACTACTGTGAGGATTATCATGTACATTTGATAAAATATCAAGTTTCACATTGTCTTCAGTTTTAGGACGTCCAGCAGCGTTTGGAATATGTTTAACGTGCCCAGTTTCTCCAAATTTTTTAACTATTTTACTTACTGTTGATTGGCTGATGGGTCTGTCTAGATATTATTTTGCGTTGAATAAATTGCATACCTCGTTCTGTGTTCTTTTTTTATCTCCGCATCCGCTAAGAATTAATATTTCTATGCGTTGTGTTTCATTTAGGTGAGCCATAATTTAGTATTCAAAAGTAAAAATTACAAGTGACAACTGATGACAATTCACAAAATCAAAACATTTAGGTACGTCAATAAATATTACAGTAAGTATCACTTGCTTGAAGTAACATTTAATAAAAGTTTCAGTGTTTCTGAGATAACTTTTTGTGTCCATTATTATATTTACTTATTTTTGCTTTTTTAAGTATTTACTTCAGAAAGTCATGGCATGAACGGATGGATGGCATTTCGAACATTTAATTTAAAATAACTGTTATGCATAATTTGGTTACCTTAAAGTACATTATGAATTAAATTATTAGTTGTAATTCAGTTTAATTTAAATTAAAAAAATGTTTTTGTAATAGCGAATTAAATTCTCCTTCAAATGAGATGTCGCATGTTACCAATTTCTATTTAAAAAAATTAACGGTTATGTCACTACACCCACACCGGTGACGTCATCTCTACTCCATGTACGATATAAGATAGGTATTTTATAACAAAAATCGACTTGTTTCGGGATTTCCGTCAAAACTCGACGGTTTTCGAAATAATGATAATATTCCATAATTTAGCCGTTCAGCCGTTCACTCTCGACTGCTTTAGGGAGCACAAGCATGCACTCTAACATACGTCTCATGTTAACACATCGGTGGAAAACTACAATATTTCCCAAGTACCAAACGTAGAAAATTAGAATACTGTAGGCACATCATGAGAAATGAGAAGTACCACCTACTGCAGCTTATTCTGTAGGGTAAAAAAGCATATCAAAAGTCGGCAGGATGCAGAAAAATATCGTAGCTGCGGAACCTAAGAACATGAGCAGGAATAGCGTCAACAGGTTTATTGAGAGCGGCAGTAGATATATAGTAATGTGGTCCAACGTGATAGCCACATAGTGGTCGCCGTTTAGTGATATTCATAGGGATAGGCACTTTAAGAAAACAAACGGGACACGTTCAGTTCCAGCTCTTCTTAACACTTACACATTTGACACACGATCAACGTATGAGATACGCAGTAGTTTACGTAATACCCACATTTCGAATGCTTCTATGTGATCCATTGGTTTAAATTTTGGAGACCATATTTCAGCTCCGTATCACTATCTAGTTTGTCGTTTATAGTGCGTTCCAAGCTATTTGAACTTGCCAGCTCTTTTAAAAATATTTGGGCATGGTTATGTTGTTGTATGCTAATGATCATAAACTACTTCGTTTCATCAATATTGCTTCTTAGACCAAATAGTTTTCCTATTCTGTCGACATCATTAACACAAACGACCAACCCACACCTATAGATACTAGGGCTTTCACATATGCAGACGATTCAGCTATTGCACAAGCAAATACTTTTGCCAAGATGAAGACAACACTAACTTAAGCCTTAAACACAATGAAGACATAAAAAAAACTCTGGTGTGCTCTTTCTACCTTCGTAACAAAGACGCTTTGAGAAACGCTAAGCCTTTTGTAGAAAATTGTTCATGGTTAAGTATCTATGGCGTGTGTTTCCATCTAATAGATATTTGGGGTGCAGCCAATTCAATCCTCAAATTCAGGCCTGTTAATTTTAAGTCAGTTCTTGAATCCATACCATAAAACCAAAGCCAACTCAAGTTCTGGTTGAGCTCCACAAGACGTCTACTGATTTTCTATAATCACTTTAAACAGCATATCGGCTTCAAAGCTTGAAATAGAATTTTCACCAGTTTTTCGTCTCATGTAAGTAATTCTATCGACTACGCTGGTTATCATTATTGATGGACCGCTTCTTAGCTTTGTTCTAATTCGTACATATTTTTGTTATTATTATTTTTTATTGTGTGATTCTTTTGCAGCCAAGAGTAAAGTTTCCACATTTTCAAATGTTTTACTTCAGAAGTTTGAAAAGCGAAAAAATATTAAAACCGTTAAAATAAAAGTAAACTATAAAATGATTACAAAATATTGAACATCTTTCAAATTTCAATACTACTAATCGTTCCACTCTAAAAATAATCATGCAGTGTTTTATAAAACCCACCTGTGATAGTGATCTCTGCCAAGGATGGCTAGGCGAATGATGACTTTTAGAACTGCCCGATGATGAGCTGTTGATTGAACTTATAGAACACATCGAAGATTTTCTTGAGCCGAGACTTGAAGGTGAGGACGGTGGAGTCTGGAAAGACCATCCGCTGTCTGAACTTTTCAAATCTGCGATAACTTGTTCCGATGCAGGAGGGAGAGTTTTAGGATCGCATGTGTGTTTTTCCAGTTGCTGGACGGCCTCTTGCAGGTGACCCATTTCGCTTAGCATGGCTATCTCTTCCTCCTAAACAGTGAAGAAAATTTTAAAATGGAAAAGAAAATATAGAAAATGAATTATAATAAATTTAGAATACCACAGGATGAAAGAAAAATTATGGCTTAAATTATACAGAGGGAAATATTTCACCGTTAACAACTTCGGTATTGTTAGCGAATATAAGATCTGCAATGACCACCACAAGATACAAACATGAAAGTATCCAGATTCAGCTACATCTAACCACTAAATTCTACTGCAACCCTGTCCAGCTACTTGAAGACAACATCAGATGCCATAATACTCCAGTCGTCAGAGACGAAAATGCCACTTACTTGTTGCAGTTTCCCAACTGTGTATAATATTTGTAATATATTAACAGACTTTGTGTTAGTTTTGATTTTCTCCGTATATTTAACCAAGATCCGCCTACAAAACGCAGACCCTATAGAACAATGAAACGGTAGTTAAATACTTTGTTGCAGACAAAACACTGTTCTTTCATACATTGTATGTTAAGAAAGAACGATAGAAAAATGAATGGCTTTTGTTAGAAGTGCAGATCGTTGGGTAAATATCGCACACACCTACCGGGAGTTTGTACAAAACAACTCCTAGCACAACGACCGAGGCACTTAGTCAACATCAAGCACTCAGTCACCATCAGTCAATTACAGACAGCCGTTCCATCCAGTATGGGTAGAGGCTGTTCAGTGAGTTAGAGACAGTCGTTTCAGCCAGTAGGGGTGGAGTCTGCTCAGTCAACAGAGACCGTGTGTTGGAGTTCTGGGGTAGTGCTCTCTACTTTGAGATACTTTTGTTCCTGACCTACCAAGAAGACAGTGTATTCGCTACATGGTAGCATAAAGTAACATATTTTATTATATACCAATTGCATTGTTTGCTGTTCCTGTATATTGGTTAGATACATTTATTGCGAAATAAATAACATGTTTACGTTCGTTTCGAAATATTAGCAACATTAATTGTAGTATATATATCTTTGTTGCTAATTGTCATTAACATGTGTTCATAAATATTACATTTAAATTGCATCTAATATATAATTATTGCCTTCTCGATTGCATTTGTTCTTTCATATCATATATATATATATATATATATATATAATATATATATAATATATATATATATATATATATATATATATATTATATGTACAAACTCGTCTCGTAATGTTTAGTTTTTAAAACAGCTGTGTTTTTTTACGGAAATTCGTTTACCTTTTGTGTAAACTCATCTCAATATTGATTGTCGTATCGGTTTTGTATCACATATTTAAATTTGCAGCTTTTTAGATTTTATTATATTTTGAATGTATGTATATTTGTCTTTGATTTTACTTGTTTCCCAATAGAGTTTTTATATAGTCTACTCGCTTATTTATTTTATGGTAATAATACATACCCAATGCGAAAGGGAGAAGCCAGTGAGTTCTAGATTGAACAAAGATAAATCTTCTCCTTTTCTGATGTCTTTATATGTTATATAAAGGTCATCGTATGTGCAGAAGCAACACCACTCAACCTCTAAAAATTATACGAACGAGCTGAAATTTGCCGAGAATATTAATTTTGAGACTCCAAAAAGATCCAAAAAAGTTTACCACTTTTACAAACCCCCTCGTAGAACGGTAAATGTGCAAAAAAATTTACCAAGATTAACCAAGAATCCGTATGCCGTAAAAAAGTGTGATAAATAAAAAATGTAGCTAAGATAATTTTAAACAAAACAATTATTAGCACATTTTGAGTAGAATGAACCGCTCTTTCACAAACAACGCTTGAAGCGACCGTTCGATTTTGAATGTCAGTTACGCCCGCGAAATCAATGTTTAATAAAATTTATATCAGCTCGACGGTACAAATTTGGTATTTTTTTATTTAAGTGTTCTATCGAGAAAAAATGCGCTTTAAAGGTAAAGAGTTCAGCTTTCGTATGCAATTTTTGTATTTTGCGGCAAGTGAACTTAGATTTTATAAAGGTGTTAAATAAATAAACGTGACGCGATTTTTGCCATTTTTTACGTTTCTCATGAGATCAATATAATCTATCCCTTTTATTGACTGGCCACTATAAAATAAATTTAAACTTTCACATAACGAACAATCTAAAACCAAAGAATATAGACGCTTATAGAAGAACAGTTCAAATGGACGATTTGGTTAGGGTTTACACTTTAAAACACATCTGGCAGTCGGCTTAAACTATCTCATAAAAGATGTAGTTAGGGGAAAGTGGGAAAGGAGTACGAACGGAGCTATTTATTTAACTTTGCATCTACGATTAAAAAAAATCCCATGCTTTTTTTGTTTTTTTTTTTCACAATAAAATCTTTATTTTCAATATATTAAATTGTTAAATTTTGAATTTTGAAATTTAAAAAGGTATGATATTTACAATATTCAAAGCATTTATTTTTTACATTTTATAACTTTGAATTAAAAATAGGTTTGTTCCAACACAACGAAAAACCGTCACATAAATTTTTATTATACTGTTTTTCTGCCCAAAAATTAACGAAATATTTTTTTAAAATATTTCGTTAATTTTTGGGTTAATTCAACCAAAAATTTGATTTTCTCAGGACTTTTCATTAAGCTTTTTAGACATGTTTCCATTATTCTGCAGAAAAAACAGTGTTGTGTTTTACATTTTGTTATTTTATATTAAAAACAAAGAAGAAATTATTAAATTTAGAAAATTTGGAAATATTTAATTCCGGTGATTGATGACTTTATTGGTTGAATTAATTTTATAGTTAATAAGAAGAGAGTTCTTCTTATTAACTATAATATTATTTGTAGATTTGTACCTATTTAAATTAAAAATTCGAATCATAATATTTTTTCTAATAGGATTCATTTATTAAAAGTTAAAATATTATTATTTTCTTTAAAAAATATTATAAAACGCAAAAATTTAATCCTATTCTACGGCCACGCGGCATTATGTGTTCGTAGTTCTCTGGCATTATACATAAAAATATCTGTTGCATTTGTTGCCCCACTCTTTCATATTTTAAAAGCAATAATAGCGTTGACATGACCGCTCCCTTCTCGATCCACCCTCTCATTCTTTTTCATAACGTGCGATCATCTTTTGCAAACTTTCAAACATAACAGTGAAAGATTCTTCTATAAGCGTCTATATTCTTTGCTAAAACGTTTAAAACTTTTTTGTTTTCAAAATTGAACTAGTACGTTTTTCAAAAGAACCAACCTTCTGCTATAAACTACATTCAAAAACCGTCTTCTTGAAGGCATTTCCCTTGAGTGCGATCGTTTAAAATATAAAACATTCAATTCTGCGTTTTTTTATTCATATTTCAACATATAACTCAAATTGAAATTTCGTGTCATATGTTTTAAAGAATAATCTCTAAAAATGTCAATTTTACTAGGACTGGTCAATAAAAGTGATCAATTTTATTGATCTCACGAGAATCGTAAAAAATGATAAAAATCGTGTCACGTTTATTTAGTTAAACACCTTTATAAAACTGAGTTTTATTCGCGACAAAATACTAAAACTGAATACGAAAACTGCACTTTTTACCTTTAAAACGCATCTTCATTTTTGTCGATAGGACACGTGGATCAAAAGATACAAATTTTATTGAACATTCATTTCGCGCACGTAACAGACGTTCAAAATCGTTTGACGGTCCCTTCAAGCATTGTTTCTGAGAAAAACTGTTCATTCTACACAAAAAGTGCTACTCTTTGTTTCAAGTTAAGAAAATCACATTACGCTTATGGAGATCAGTGTTGCCAAAACTCTCAGACACTCTCTTTTGCACGGATGTCAAAGATATTCCCTTTGCTTAATTTTTGAATTTTTATTTTCAATTAACATTTAACTGTAAAGTCAGAATAACTACTAAATAAAAGCCTTATTATCATTATGTAGTCAGAGAACGACATAAAATCGCTGACATACGCAAATCGTATTATTTTAAGTTGCAATTAGTAATTAGATATACGCATTCCAAGTCCGTTTATTTGCTTTTAAAACTTTAATAGGCGGCAAAATGCATGATTTAATTAAGCAATATTTTCTACTGATTTCTATGATTCATGGCTCACCGAAAAACAAATAAACTGTCGTTACTATAATTAAAATAAGATAAAATAAAATAATCTTTTGGAAATACTATTTATCTAATTAAAATCATTTTCCTCTTAATCTTTTCATCTCTTGTTTCGAATGGGCACTTTTGGTCAATTATGTTTAAAAAACATTAATTTAATTCATGTCTGTGGAAACGAAAATACAAATTATACAAACCTAAATTGTGCTTGTGTTGTGTCGTGGCAACGCCGCGTTTCTATCGTCCATAAGAAATACATGGCCCTATCTCCGCAATGTTATTTTCTTAACGTGAAACGTAGATTAATAAACCATTTTGTTTAAAACGATCTCAGATACATTTTTTTATTTGAAACATTTTTTCTACGGCGCACAGATTCTTGATAAATCGATTTATTTGCGGTTTTAGCCCCCAACCACGAGGGTTTGAGGAGGAAAGCCCGGGAGTAAAAAATGTAAACTTTGTTCCATCTTTTTTGGAGTCCTAGAATTATTATTCTCTAAAAAATTCAGCTTGTTCGTATGATTTTTAGGGGCCAACTCTCTGACGACTGGACTATAAATATCATTTAAAAATCTTTTTATATAAAGCTTATGTAAATATTTGTTTTGTTTGATTTTAATTTAATTTTAAAAATTCAACTTTTATATTTATTTGTGTACAATAAATATGATTAGTTCATATCTTAGTTTAATTATCCTGGCCAACCCATTTTTCATATTTACATCTAAGATTAGACGTTCTCTCACCTGAGAGACTGAACTAAACGAGGCGCTAACAATTGGATCCAAAGAACGTTGTGAGTTTTATTATTCTATATTGGCTCCCAACTTTCGGGATTCAAACAATTCCGAGTTCCAACATCGAAAAGATTATAATACCCATGTTCGTCCGTCTAAAGATCTCGTCTACTGGCAAGGATCGATCCCACCGTAAACCGATAATCTCAATGGAAATATGGGCTCGTGCGACAATCGTAGCGTACTACGATTGCCTAGTAAAGTCACATGTTTTGAGCCTTTCGACTCTCGGAACTCCAAGAGATATCGTTGCCACCTTTGACTAGACAGGATACGGCCTTAGAGGCGTTCAGGCACAATCCCACGGATGGTAGCTTCGCACCATTATCCGCTCGAGTAAATCCGTCAACCAAATGTCCGAGCCTGCGGTTCCTCTCGTACCGAGCAGGATTACTATCGCAACGACGAGTCATCAGTAGGGTAAAACTAACCTGTCTCACGACGGTCTAATATATCTTTTCTGATTGGTTGTTCAATGGTTACACTTTAAATAAAGTGTTAATAAGAGAAAGAATGAGTTTGAATTTAAATTGAAACCCTGCAGTTTAATGTTGCTTTACTGGAAGCTATATGATCATGATAATGATACCGATTATTTATACATTTTTTTTTTCTATTTGGATTATCTTATCCATATATAACTTACCACTACGGGTTTTAACAAAACCACGAAAGAGCAAAATCTAGTTCTTTCTTCTATTAACACAGCTCTAACAGCATGTTTTTCAGTCTCTTCCAATAACTGACGTCTTTCTGTAACATCCTGGAGTCCACATTCAAATCTCTTTTGAACATCGCCCCCTACACCTTTCTTTAATTTTTTCTGCAACCTCAACGTATCGGTGGATCGCTTCTTTAATTCAGATCTTGCTCGTTTGAAATCTAAAACAAAAACGAATTGAATATGTAGTTTTACTAAATGTGCATTTTTATTAATGTTCTGTTAAAAAACCAGCTCAAACAATTTTATAATTATTAAATGGAACTTTTAAAGTAATATTATGCGCACTACATTGACGTTTGAATATTTCTTCTGAAATTGTCCTATTTTCTCATGAAGTCTTCTTCTTCAGGCGCCTTTCCGCTGCGAATATTGGCCATTAACATGGCAATTCCGAACTTGCTTAGGACACTTCTAATTTTTGAGATTTTGGAGCCACAAGTGTCTTCTCCTATCTGGAGATCTCCCAATATTGTATTGGATATAGTTTTCATATATGTTATAACATATTCATATATGTTATAAAGAGTCTGCTAATAGAGATTTAGCAGCCATAGCAACTCTGCCTGTATTAGGTGTGAGGTGAACTGAGTAGCTTTACATATGATGCAGCCGGTCCCAAGCCCGGATAAAAGAGGAGGGGAGAGGAGTAATACCTCAAAAAAAAACCAGGGTTCAGCTGGCCCGGCTGATAGCACCCTGTAAGGGCCCCTTGTCTAGGGTTACAGATCAACCGAATGATTGCCGGTATAAGCAGTTACCCAATTATTGACCAACGGCTTCGGGCGGATGAGTTAGTAAGTGTTTAGGGCACTCTTTTGCTCTTGAGTTGAGAAATCGGCTCCGAAGGCGGATGAACCAACAATGTGTCAACGGCATAAGGATAAAGCAGGCAAACGGAAAACTACTTGATTACATATTCCAGAGCTCGTTATGAAATGACAAACGAAAGTAACAGAGTGCTATGCGATCCAGCAAGCAACCGGCGCCAGGTCGAGTCCGAGTCGACTGATGTGAAATGGACGACCGGGCAGATGGATGTGGGCAACCAGGCTACATCTGCGAAATTGGTGACTGGAAACCCAAAACTAAAACTACGTACAAATATATATATATATATAATATTAAATATATATTATATATACACCGTATAGCCACATGAACGTTAGAGGTTTGTTAGAATCAGGAAAACTACATATCTTAGAACAAGAATTTATAAGAGAAAAAGTAGACATATGTGAACTATCAGAAACCCACTGGGAAGATCAGGGTCACTGGAAATCCAATTACTATAAAATATTCATGTCGGGAGCCAATAAAAACTGGGCAAAAAGGCGTAGCAATACTGGTACAGAAGAACCTGGCAAAAAAATTACTCTCGATGGACAGCCAACAAAGATCCATGTAATGATAGACAGTCAACAAAGATCCATGATAGTTGGAAATGGTAGAGACGATTTAAACAATATGTAGTAGACAAAATAATTGCGAAACAAGGACACATACGTCTTCCTCCATACCACCCCGAACTAAATCCGATTAAGAAAATTTGGGGAATAAAATCTCAGACGTTAGGCAGATGGCCGAAGAAAAATATAACAATGTCGTAGCAGATGTGTGGAAAAAACTTGCGATCATGTTATTGGAGTAGAACATTAGTACCTTAGAAAAGAACTTTTAATAGATCAAATGGCTGAACTGAGCATACATGTTAGCGAAGACGATTCCGATAGTTCGTGGTCAGACACCAACGACGATGAAGGTGACCTAGGATGTGAACTGTTATAGTGAAAAACCAGTGTCATTTTTTTGCCTTTGAAAAATCTGTTTTTTTATTGAGATATTCATATGTTGCTTTACGCAAATTATATTATTTGTAAATAATTTTTAAGTAAAATTGTTTAGAAATTTTAAAATAATATTAGTTAAACAGTGTGTCTCAACTCCAAATAACAAATTGAAAATATAAACTTATAAACAATAATTTTGCAATAAATAATAATAGGGATTTTGTCACGTTTAATACCGAAAGTTTAAGTAAAATTAAAGCCAGTTTTAAAAAATTTTAAACCAAAATCATTGAAAATATAAACGAGATGCACTTAAAATACATTTTTGTTTTAATATAATTCCACTTCCAGTACCTTTACGTGAATTTTAAGGCCGCCTTCGCACAGTTCTGTGGTCAACAGTGAATACAAGTATTTTACATGTCAAAAGTATTTTTTTTAGCAAGTTTTTTCCAAGATGTGTATTCAGATCCTACTACATTCTATGGATGAGCTTTCATCTTCCATCACAATTGACAATTTGATTTAGTCTATAAAGTGAGACTGTATTCTTTAATATTTTCTTTTCGATTCTTGAAAAAGTATTGACGAATGTTTCCATTAATCTCTTTTCGTATCTGAGACATCAATATCAAATTCATGTTTCTGGAAACTTTTAAATATCGTCCAATGCAGAAGAATGCCGGATACTTCTTTCTGTAGTTAGTAGTGATAGCATGTTATTTTTATAAACATTATTTGTATTCTAGATATCGACTGAGTCACATCCTAGAAGTGTATAAAAATAAATAAACACATAGTTGCATTTAAAGCAAACGTGCTGATAAAGTAATCTATCTACATTAAGAACAATAAAAAGTAAACAGAGCAGTATTCAAAATGGGAGTTTTTTTATTTTTCTACAATCACGTAATAAAATAAAACAAACGAATTTTATAACCTTCGCTTTAATATAAACGATATAAAAAAGCAACAGTACAATAAATCACTAATTAGTAATTTGGACTCAATCTTATCAGTTTGCTCTGCTCAATATTTAATGAGAAATCCTGATCCCGCAGTAATACACTATGCCCTATGCCAGATCATATTATAAATTTTTCAAAAACCGCAATATTACAGTTTTACTAGCCACTGCACCGATAAAATGTTTATATTTTTATCAGACTTGTGGTAAACTTGGCCTAATTATTTCCCCAAATTCAGTGAGACCGGAAGTAAAGGTCTATCAAATTTTGTTTTCTTCGATTGAGTTACGTAATCTCAAGGTGACAACTTGTCACTGACAAGGAAGCCTAATATAATAAATTAACGTGTGTGTATATGAACAGCTTCTCACCGCACGACACTTCGGTACAGATAATTTTAGCGGTAAACAATTGATTAATTTGATTCCATTATAGATTATTATTGTTACGAAGATATTTTTTGAGAGGGAACTTACGAGAAATTCTCAGTATATTACTGTTAACAAAACTATTACGATGAAGTATTATACCGGTATTTATTACTGACTTCTTTTCTTTTAGAACTTTTTATTGAGGATTTTTTTCTGAAATTATTCTTATTTTCTAAAACGTACTCCTTTGTCATTATATAATATATATTTATACACTCGTTATCATAAAATCCGAATCACCTTGAAAACTTCAAGTTTCTTGAATATTTTTGCCTCTGGTGCAGTAATAACCCTTTTGTAGGCTAATGTATTTTTTATTTGTCATTAATGTCTGTTTTGAAAGAAAAAAAAAATGGTTTTTTATTGTTTTTATTGAAAAAGCAGAAAACAAACCAAATTGTTGATAAAATAGACATGAAAAATACAGAACGTGGTTAAAACAGCAGTGAAATTTCAATTACTAATATCGTGTATTGCCTCCCTTGCTCTAATTACCTCTTGCAGATGACCGGACATACTCTATCTAAGGCAGGGGTCACCAAATGGCGGACCGCGGTCCGCAACCGGACCGTGAGCTTTTGTTTTTTGCAGACCGCCGTTAAATCCAAAATATAGTAATAAAATTATAATGTAAAATTAGAATCTAATCTAAATATATAAGTATCTTTAAATTTTTTAAAATACATTAAGAAGTACTCATAATCTAAACAATATGTTTCGACTAGACGGTCTTCCAAAATTTCAGGAACTTCTTCATCTTCCTTTGCCCTATCCGTTTCGGACGTTGGCTATTAACAAGGCTATTTTGACTTTGTTTACGGCACCTCTGAACAGTTCGGTCGATGTTAGTCCGAACCATTGTCGCAGGTTATGCATCCATGAGTGTCGTCTTCTTCCCGGTCCCCTCCTACTGTCGATTCTTCCTTGGACTATTAACTGTAGCAGCCGGTACTTAGTATGCCTCATGACATGTCCGAAGTACTCAAGCTTCCGTTTCTTTACGGTGAAGATTATTTCTTTGCTTTTGCCTATTCTCTGCATTACTTCCACGTTAGTGATGTGGTCTGTCCAGGATATCCGAAGAATACGGCGATATATCCACAGCTCAAAGGATTCTAGTTTCTTCAGGGTGGCTTCCGTTGTGGTCCATGCCTCTGCTCCATAGAACAAGACCGGGAAGACATAACACTTGACCAGTCTTAATTTTAGTTCCATTGAGATTTTGCTTGTGAACCACTTTTTCATATTGTTGAACGCGTTTCGCGCTTTTTCAATTCGTGATCTTATTTCTGTTGACTGGTCCCATTTTGTGTTGACTGTGGTTCCAAGGTATGTGTATGTCTCCACTTGTTCTATTTTTCGGTTGTTTAATGTCAATTGCATCGGAGGTTGTTGTGTTCTGCTGATGAGCATGCATTTAGTTTTGGTTGTATTGAGTTCTAAACCATATTCTTGACTTGCTGTGTGTATGCTTTGCATGAGTCTTTGAAGCTCGTTGCAGTCATTTGCGATAATAACTGTGTCGTCAGCATATCTAATATTATTGATTACCTCTCCGTTTACTTTGATACCCTCCGAAACTTCTCCCAGTGCTTCTCTGAAGATTTGTTCAGAGTATATATTGAACAGGAGCGGCGAGAGGACGCATCCCTGTCGTACACCCTTTTTAATATCTATCTTCCCACTGTGTAAGTTGCCCATCTTTATCTCAGCACTTTGGTTCCAATAGAGACTGGTTATTATGCGCAGATCCTTGCCATCAATATGCATCTTCCTGAGGAACTACCTACCAAAAATTATCTTTTAGCAAACTACAATAGGGAAGCTGTCTGAACAGTAAAATTAATTTAATTTGCATATTTATGACGTACCTATAGTAACCAGTATAGTATAGTATATCTATAGTAATCTTATAGTAAGCAGTGTATAAGAAAACTAAATTGATTTTTTTTTTCAAACTTTCAGATAATAG